TGACTCTGGCTGTCTTCCTGGAGACTCCTGGGGGAACCCTTAAGCCCGGCTCCAGCCTCCTTCTGGGGGACCCCAGACTTGCCCCCTGCCCTAGACTGCGTGATCCTGCCATGTCTCGGGCTGACATGGGTGTCAGGGGGAAAGGGACTCCAGGCCAGGCTCCCTCCTTTGTTCCGGGTTCGATTGGAACTCCACAAGGGCTCGCCTGGGAGCAAAATTGAGGAGGGGCTCTGGTAGACGCAGGCTTTAGGCCTTCCAGCCCCGGGCTGGGCCTCAGCGGTGTACCCATGGCCCAGCCTCAAGATTTCTTTTTTGTTGCTGAAGGATATTCCATTGCATATATGCCCCCCATCTTTATCCATTCATCTATTGATTGACACCCAGGTTGCTTCATATCTGGTTATTCCCACTAATGCTGCAGTGCACATAGAGGGGCCTATACCTTTTCAAATTAGCGCTTTTGTTTTCTCCAGAGAAATCCCCACAAGTGGAATTGCTGGGTTGTATGGCAGCTGTAGTTTTTAATTTGTTGAGGGATCTCCATCTCGTTTTTCCTTAGTTTTCCTTAGTTTCTTAATCTTTGCTTTCTGGTCTCAAAGCCTTTAATTTGTTTTACTTTTTTGCTGCTGTAAACAATTTTTATTATTCCCCAAACACTATTCACAACCTAGTATATTCTCGGCACCTCTGCTCACTGAGAATAGAACGGTGAGCAAAACAGATCCCTGGCCTCGCGGAGCTTACATTGTCGTTCACGCTTGCAGCGAACTCACTGCGTATGTCTTTGCCTCATTGTGTTAGTGTTTCTCTAGTGTTTCCTGTATGTGCTGTGTCCCACCCCTCCAGCTTCCTAGCTCAAAATGAACTCAGTTGATTAAAAATGAAATGACCACCGCAGGCTTTCAGGCAGTTATTCACAAAGAGCATTCGGACTTTCCCTTTGAAAATCAGTTCGCCTGGCTGCTGAGAGGGCTGTGCGTCTTTGTCTTTAAGTTGATTGATAATCGGCATCAGCTGGGAAGATGCATGTACTTTGCTTGTTGAAAAGTGGCTGCTGAGCAGCTGGGGTCCACGTGGCCTGGCCTTGCTGCTGCTGGTGGGAGTGCACTTACACAGCGGTTACTGGGCTTTGTTGGGCACGCGCACTGTGTGCCTATCCACGCACAGACAGCCCCATGGATAGGATGTTTGGGAAATACGGGCGTTCCAGGCCCTCCAGTGGGATGGAAAGAGGACCTAACTTTCAGGGGCTTCAGAACAGGAGTGTTCCAGTCTGGACCAAGCAGGTATCAGTGCCCGGAATCCATATGCCCCTGACAAGATGGGATCCCAGGAGAAGGGAGTAGGTGAGGTCTTAGGAACAGGCCCCGGGATTAGGGGTGGCGATACGCCATCATGATCAAGAGCTTGGATTGGCCCTACAGCCAAGTAGCTGTGGGTTCACATACTAGCCCTGACGTTAACTCTTACACGTGACATTGGCAAAGTTGGATGACAATTTAAATGTATTTCTCCATCTCTAAAATAGGGGTCAGATGTCAACCCGAGCTACCCTGGTTTCTATTCCCTCAGCATCACCCTCATCACAAGAGAGCTTTCAAATATTGTTTTCCTTGTATCTCTTATGATGATATATTTTTATTTCTTTTTATTTCTCAATCTAGCACACTAATTCTTTGAGAGTCAGGAATTTGATTTTTTTTTTTTGTCACTGTTTTATCCCAGCACCCAGCACCTAATAGATGAAATGTTTGCAGAATGAAAGAAGAAATTTGCTAGAGGCTTGTGGTCACTATCTGTTGGTCCTTGGACCATATTTCTTTGCTGCTTCCAAGAAAAGATCTCTGAGTAGGGACCCAGGAGATGTGTTTTAGACATCCTGGATTCTGCCCACTGTGCCTGTGGCGCTTAACTTCTGAGTCCTTTTCAGACCAGGAATCAAACATTTGGTCCGTGGCTGGCTTTGGGGGGTGTCTTTGGGAATTGCTGCTGACAGCCCTGTACTCAGGGGCATGAGCTCTGCTGGTCCCCTTTCTCTGACAGCGCCCAGGGCCTGGCAGGGGCGCCTGGGGCTCCTGCAGCCTGAGAGACCTGCTGATCTCTGCTTTTCTGGTTCCTGAGCCGCGGCCTGATGAACATCAAAGACAGGATGCTGGCTGTTTTATTATTATTATTATTTTTTTAGCTCCACAACTGTCGGTTTGAATAGATAGATGTTCTCGGGGCTTCGTATAGGCATATAAAATGTATGTTTTCTTTCATCAACAAAGGCTATGATTGTGAAAGTCTAAACAGTGCTGCTTAGTTGAGTATTTTCTAGTTCAATTTTCGGTAGCTCTTGAGGGAGATTGCATTGTGCTTCATCGGAGAGGAAGATGGTTTGATGGTGCTGTGTATGCTTCTTTTTTTAATTTATTGGTTTCAAGGGAGGAGGGGAGTGAGGAAGAGAGAGAGAGAAATCCTCACCCAAGACATGCTTAGAGAGAGGGTGAGGGAGGGGGGAAAGAGAGAAAGAAACATTGACCAGTTACCTTCTGTACATGCCCAGCTGGGGATCTAACCCCAGAACTCAGGTATGTGCCCTGACTGGGAATCGAACTGGCAACATTTTGATGTACCAAATGATACTCCAACCAACTGAGCCACTGGGACAGGACAGAGGAGTAGCAAATCTTGACTTTGGTGAATATGTTATTTCTCCCCTAGTTCTGTATGCTCTTTCTTGTGCTTGTGTATATCTTATTTATCTGGCTGCCTGAGGCAGTTTAAAATATGTAAGCATTTATGCAACTGACTATTTCTTAGAATTATGGCATCTTTGGTGAATGACTTTCTAGCCTGAGACATTTTATCATGCTATAAATATCAGAAAGACCAGAAATTAAATAATAAGTTTGTTTCACTTTTGTAAATAAATTCTACTCTCTTTATTTTGCAGTGGATAAAGGACTTTGTTTATTTGTTTGTAAATCACCTAGTTTTTTTTTCTTTGTAGAGAGTAAGTAGATAGATATTCATTTTTGCATAGATATCAACATTCTCATATAAAGAATGCAGCCCTGGACACATTAATACCAAGCACCTATGAGATAGTTTTGAAATGTTATTGTGGAAAAGAGAATAATGATTTAGGGACACTGTGCGTCAGAAAACCCAATCTCTTATAGTTTCTTTTCAAATATAATTTAAATTTAAATTAGTACTAGGCCTCATGCCTCATCAAGTATGCTTTTCACACTTCTGTGTTGCTCACCTGTTAACTAGATCTGTTAGCAGATCAACCAATAGAAACCACCTTTAAAACATATTTTCTGGGTCTAGACTTGTAGTTAATAAACCTGAGTTCTCCTGAAGATCTGATTTCTTCTCGTCTTAGAGGACTGTCGGTGGTGAAGATGTAGAATACAGAGAATTGCTTCTGATTCACCTCCAAGTTGAGTAACTTTCGATGTGACTCACTCATTTACTTAGTTTTCAAAGCCATTGGGAAGAACAAAGACATTGGAATTCCACTCAGCTTTGGATTTGAAATCCAACTTTTCCACTTTAAGACTGTAACCTCTACAAAGGCCAAGATGTGTCTGTCATTCACTCCTGAATGCCTGGTGTCGTGGGACATGAACGGTTCTTAGTAGATACTGCTTGAGTCAGTGAATGAACATCATCATGTGATTTTGAGCCACAGTATCCTGCTCTGTATAATGGGGATAAACAACCCTTATATTACAAGGTTACTGTAAAGCTTGGAAGTAGTGTGTTTAAAGCACATGCTAGATTGTCTGGCCTATAGGAGGTGAGCATGTATTTCTCAAAATCCTTAGATTTACTTCTGATTGTGTTGGTTAGAGAATAAACGTGAAGTTTTGTTCATGTTGTACTTTGTGTTTTGGCAGAATTGGTCTGGGTGGTTCAGTTTCTAAATTGCCGGTGATGAATTCAGAAAGTGAACTGTTGGACTGGGCTGCATTTCTGGATCATCCATATTAAATGGATTTTCTCCAAGTTCCCACTCTACGCGCTCCTTATTGTCAAGCTGATGTCACACCTCTCTCCTTTCCAAGGGGGCGCTGTTGCAGTTGTGAGTCCTAGTTACCCAGAAGGAAGCCGCATTCCTGGGACGCGCTTATAAGGTGGTGGGTGGCAGAGCCCTAGACACTGACGCTCACCCCTTCTTGTCTTGAAATCTTCAGTCCAAGACTGTTTCAGAGTATTTTTCTTTTCACTGAGATTGTTTTAATAGAGGGGTCTGGTGGAAATCTGGATATTCATTAAACACAATTCTCCCTTTGTGCTGTAAATAATATTTATGAATGATAGTTTGGGGCTTAACCTGGGCATTATGGGGAGATATTGAGTAGGAGTTTTCTGTCTGAAGGGTAATATGAACTTTAACCAATTGGACATAACCCTGTTTTTGCGTTGCACAAATGAAGTTTTCTGATACATTTTAGTGCTACTATTAATATGACTCTTGTTTGAACGGAGACTGTCTCGAGGGAGGTCATAGTTAATGTCAGGTTCTGTTTTTGAATTGCTGTGCTGTTGTTGGGGGATGAGATTCTGGGGAAGGGAAATCTTGTGTGGGAGGTTGGGGCAATCTCGACCACGTGAGCTCCCACCTGTGCACCTTTCAGAACCTGAGACCTAGAAGAGCTGAGCAATAAACTGTCTGGCCTTCTGAGATGCTTGCCTGTATATAGTTTCACATATAAAGGACTTTATTTTTTTAAAAAATGAAGTGTGCAGATGAAGCTCTTTTAGTGGGAATTGTGTACGTGAATTTGAGAAGTCCTGAAAATGAAATAAAATTAGATTATGATTTGACTGTGGGTGCTGGACACATAATGTAATATACAGATCATGTATCTTAGAGGTGTACACTTCAAACCTATGTGATCTTATTAACCGATATCACCTCGATAAATGTAATTTAAAAAAGAAAAAAGATTACATTGGAAAGAACTGAAGTCTAGCTCTTAAAGCCTTCCTTTTCTTTTGGCTAAAGAAAATGGCTAATTACACTGGGAACCAGAGACAGGTGCCTGTGTGTGTTAACTGGGTAAATAAAGAATCATGTTAACCTCTCCAGAATGCTGGTGGCTGTAGTTTGGGCAGAAAATCCTATAAAGGAGAGAGTGCTGCCTCGTGTAATAAACTCCCAGGTGCTCGATAAAAGCCCGCTCCTCTTCTGCTGGCTGGCCAAGATCAAGGGCGCTGCTGCCCAGGGAGCGGGGAGGCTCCTCGCTGGTGCGCGGTGATGAGATTCCGCCTCTCCTGCTATCTGTCTGA